CTGGGAATATACATTTCACCTAGTAAGGGATGAATTTGGTCTCATTGGGAAAGTAGGCCTATAATTCTCTTAGGAAGGGATGAACTTAGTCTCCCTAATGAAATAACACAATTATCTTAGAAAGATGCAATTCTCCTAAAATAATAGCCTTACAATTTTTCTAAAAAAAGGATTAACTTAATCTCCATAGTGCAATAGTATAATTGTACAATTATCTTAGAAAGATGCAATTCTCATAGCAATGGATGGACTTGGTCTTCTTAATGCAACAATTGTCCCAAGAATGACAATTCTCCTAAAAATGAATAAACTTGGTCTCCCCATTGTAATAACACAATTATCATGAGAATATGCAATTCTCTTCAGAAGGGGTGGACTTTGTCTTCCTATTGCAGTATCATAATTATTAGAAATGTGAAATTCTTCTAAGAAAGGATTGACTTGGTCTTTCTAGTGCAATAATATAATTATCTTAGTGCAATAACAAGACAAGTATCCTGAGAATGTGCATTTCTCCTAGGAAGAGATTGATTTGGTCTTCCTAGTACAATAACACAATTATCGTAGGAATATGCAATTCTTCTAAAAAAGGATGAACTTGGTCTTCCTAGAAAAATATCACCACAACTCTCCAAGGAATGAACTTGGTCTCCATAGTGCAATATCTTAATTATCCTGGAATATAGCGCAACTAGATCTCACAGGTGTTGTTAGGCTAATAGGGTGGCCTTAATACGCATCTCTCGCGAGTGTCGAGCCCAATGTTTTTTTCATCACACCTTGTGCATCTCTAGGTGCTCAATGTTCAAACATGAGTTTTAATTAAAATATAATGTCTGAATCTAACACCACACCTCTACAAATTTTATATAAATCTTAGATGAATTATTTTTTAATAAATAAAATTAATTAAACAAGTTTACACTCTACCAACACCATTAAGTGATTTAAAATATATCATGACCCACTATGTCTCCATCTCCTAGCTAGATAAATGAGTGGAACACACCTCATAATATAAAATAGATCTAGGGATGGAACCACTCTCTAATCCCTTAACTCCAATAAAAAAAACAAGGTTCAGGGTTATAAATACCCCTTGAACCACTCAACTAAAAGGTTTATAATTTCTTCATTCTCAACATTTTTAACATAAATGTTTTTAGAGTTTATCTCTCTAAAATATCATTATATTTTCTCCCTCTAAAAAGATATTTAAGCATTTAAAAGTCCTAAAATTCACAAAGTAGAACCTTTTATAGGTACCAATTATCAGTCACCATGGCCTTCCAGATACTAGGTATAGCCTACCAGTCACTTTGGCTATAAAAAATAGATTAGATTGCTAGAATTAATGCTATAAAAAATAGATTAGATTGCTAGAATCAATAGATTAACCAATTATCCAACATATAAGTCTTACTCCTAAGCTACTTTTATTTTTTAGGACATCACCACTAATTACTAATATACATGTAAATGAAAATTTTGAAAAATCCATTAAAACCAATCATTTTCTATGAACTATAAATGGTATAATGATTCTAAGAATGACAAATTACTTGTACTAGAAGTCTTTAGGTTTTAAGAGTTTTTTGGGTTCTTAGCATAGTGGAAAAATATTTTGGTAAAGTAAAATAATAAAAGAAAATAGCACAGTTTTACGAATCATAAATGCAATCTATGACTCTTATATTGTAGTTTCCATTGCATCACGTAAGTTATAGATGGTTTTTGCGACTTCATATGAAATTTAAACCCAAAACCCCACCTTTCCCTTTTTTTTCTCCCCATAGCTAGCCACCCTCCCCCTCTTCTCATTGTCAGCGACCTCTCTATCTCTTTCTCCCAACTGCGAAACACATCCATAACATCAGGAGATCACCTATCTCTCTTTTTGTCTCTCTCTCTCTCTCTCTCTCTCTCTCTCTCTCTCTCTCTCTCTCTCTCTCTCTCTCTCTCTCTCTCTCTCTCTCTCTCTCTCTTTCTAACACGAGATCGTCACCCCTCTTTCTCTTTTGACCTCAAGTCAACTTATTTTTGGCCAAAATCACCACCACTACACATATTCTACACTTAGAGGTATATGCAACACTCCCTCTCTATTAATTTGATGTAATTTATGCTAATGTGTGTTAGTTTGATTTCATACAATGTTAGAGTTTAGAATTAGGGATTTTAATATATATATATATATATATATATATATAATTAGGTTAACTAGATATAGTTTGAGTTGATAATTAGGTTTTTTTTATAAAATATTCAATGACTTTAGGTTATTGTTGATTGTGAATTTTTTTTTTTGGTGCTAGAGTTAGTGTTTATTTAGGTTAAATTAAGGATTATATTGAATTAGATATAAAATAAGATAATTAGCTATAAAATAAATGATTTGGGTTGATATTTTTTTATGATAGCAAAATTTGATGAATTAGGTGTTCGCAAATTAATTTGAAGAATTTAGGTTTTAGATGATTATGTTACCATTATGGTTTTATTAATAAATTGTGAAATTTGATTAATCCTAGGATATTTATAAATTAGATTTATGTTTTGTTGTGTTGTTTAATAGAATGTCTGATAATTTAGGAATATTATGCTTTCAGGGATGTAGATTGGAAAAGAAAACTTGTGAGAATTTATTTTTTTATTCTTAGATCAATTACTTCAATGTCACTTCAATTACTAGAACCAAAGTGATATTCCACAGTACGAATATTTTTGTAAATTTTATCAAGTTAATGCAGAGAGTCAAGATGAGAGAAAAGAAAGAGAAAATTATGTTCTTTCAATTATAAAAACTTATAAGAAAGAGAAAATTATGTTCTTTTAATTATAAAAACTTATATACTTTCATATAGGTTATGTCCCTTTATATATGATTAGAGGAGGTGATTACTTCCTTTAGCAACTCCTCTAATAACTTGGACCAGACCCATCTATCATGGACGGACCAGACCTAACCCAATAACCAACATCTCTCATTTGCCTATGAAGGACTGAATCTCTCTAATACATTATACTTCAAACTTGAACAAGAATCTCATACTTAACGAACGGACCATGTGACCTGAAGCATATAGTGAAAGGAGCTCCAATATATAAACTTAATATAGGTCATATAGGAGGCATCAATCTTATAATTAATTATTCCTTATAGTGTACTAATATACCCTAAGCATTTTTAGTTACACTTGACTGAATATAATTCAATCCCTTGAGAATTTCATACTTAATTCATCCTTATAATTACAAGTATTCTAAATCATAAATGATATGATCCCGACTGGTGAATACAAATAATAGTTGTAGAACTAAAATTACTTTTTTAATTAAAAAGGTAGATTAATCTAAAAATATATTACCAATACTTAATATAAACCATAAATGAAAATACATATATGAAACTTTAGAAATTCTCACCATAAAATATTCTCATATTGATTAGTGGGAAATTTTCAATTACATTTATTATAGTAGATGGACTTTTCACCTTTTTTTATGGAATAATATCAACTTTAGACAATAAAAATGATTGTATAGGGCACTCATGGAACCAAGTATCATATGATAGTTGAGATAGATGCTATGTCATATAAGGATGGTTTATTTTTATGGTTGAAATTATGTTTTGTGATTTCTTTTAAAAATAAATTGCTTGGAATTAAATTTTTTTTAGTATTTTTAGATTATTTTGATATGTCAAAAATAATTTTAAAAAAATTTCATGTATTTCCATACAAGAAATACTTTAAAAAGACAAGACATTAATATGACAACATCACATGAAACTTGTTGTTCAACTCAAAATCTTCTCAAATTTAACTTCCTTTAAATCAAAATATGAAGTTTGTATTATCCAAACACAAATTTAAAATAACTATTCAAATGCATCTCAAACCTATCTAGTATAGATTTTTAATATCCCAAGTTTCAAGTGCCCATTACTATTTATAACTTGAACTTGAATACTATAATTTATAATCATTTAGTATATAGTTATTTTACTGTATATATAGTTTTTTTAAACTTAAAAAGTTATTTATTTATTTTGGTTGGATTAGTACTAGGTATAGCAATATTCATACTCATCCTGAAATCCAACGTTTTACCCTTGAGGTCCTAATTAAGATATCGGAACACGGCTTCTTTTTTAAAAAAGAATCCAAAACGATGGCTTGCACTGCAAACTGAGGACGCGTTTTCTGACTGTCTGAAGCTTATCTATGTCTTCACCTGTTTTATTAATTTTATTATTGAATCAATGTCTTAAATCCACTTGACTTGATCTGTACTTTGAAATAATTAAGGTTTAATCAACACTTCCCCCAAGCAGAAAAGAAGGAAGAATGTTTTGCATCTCAAATAAAAATTAAAATCCCACAAATTAAGTTAAGCAAATAAATTATTATAAAAGAAGCAGAGTCTAGGCAAAGCCACTACAGATGGAGGTTCCTTGCTTGTGTTTTTTCTTTGTTGGAGATTTTGGCTCTTTGCATGAACAGGAAATGAAATGGAGAGGTAGGCTTGGAGCACTCAAGCTTCCATTGCTTCTTTTTTCTTTCTTCTAGTGCACCACTACTTCATAAAGTTTGATTAAAAGATGGGAAAAGCAAGCAATGCTAACTAGACTGCCTTTGCATTAGTGCTCAACACTCCCCCCTATTGAGAATTGTGGAATCAATGGATCTCTCACCCCTTCCATGACGAGAGTATAGTGTAGTAGTATTCAAAAAAGGGTGATAGGTGGACGACACTGACAGAAGATGAAAGAATGAAGAGAGAAATGGCATCATAGTGGGAGCTAGCATCACCAGTTAGATGCATATAGTCCTGGATATAAACGTCTACTTCTTTCTTTTCCACCTTCAGTTCGATATAGAGTGCGGGTTACCAGCATCGGCTTCACTTTCCTGCAAAATACCATAGATACAGAATCCAATACGAGAACAAGGGTTCCCATCAACAACAAGGGTTAATTCATGGCTCATGGAGGATACAAAAGCTCTTACTAACATATCAAAACAAGAACAAGATGAGACGCGGGCTCATGTAGCACGCACAAAGAAGGATTCACTTAATTCTGATACATGTTTTATTAAAAGTAATTGATGTAACAGTTTTTAGTACATATGATGTATACAACCCACGAGCTAACGAAATCAGGCTATGGGTAATAAAATGAAATCCGGAGGCGACCGCCTCTAACTCATCAGCACAAGATTTTGCTTACAACTTCCATCTGCTGGTGAAAAAGAATGTATTGTTCTTAAGAATCTAAGAGTTCCATGAGCAGAAACCTTTCCTCCTGCTCAGATGTCTTTGAATTCTTCCTCGGGGTTTAATTTCAATTTTGTTTTTTCCTTCTGTCCTTTCTCCAGTTTCTTACTCCTGGATATCATCAAAACTTAATAAAATTTAAAAAATGACAAGAAATAAATAGTTAAATGCTGAACTACGAGCCAAATCAGGGCTTATATTGCTTCTAAGCCACTAATGGCTCCTGCTCGATATACAGCTGCTCCACCCAAGCAGGGAGCATCTCTGAACCTCCAATGTTAAGATGACATTGCAGCTGCTGCTCCTGCTGCTGCTGCTGCTCCTCCTCTAAACCCAATGGCCCGGGTTTCACAGGAGGGTTATCCTTCACCAGGGACTGTACCCATGACACGTCTGGCTCACCAATAGTTGCTGGCACTGAGGCAGCAGCTGGGGCAAAACTGCTACCATCGCTTCGAAACCCAAAAGAAGCAGACTTTCGAAGCTTATTAAGCTCTTCTCCCTGAATACCCCAATCCAATTTTCCATCAGGGGAACCCCAGTCTGAAAGATTAGGAGGCATTACTTTTGCTGGTGAAGAAAAAACTGGGTGACGGTTCACAGCATTTCGTTCCACAAAGCTCTGGCTACGCTTTGCAAAGGCAGCAGACCTTGAACTCAAAACTGCTGCTGCTGCACCTCCAGAATGATCCATTCCAAAAGATGGTGATGTTCTCATAGGAGAAGATGAGAAGCTGGTGGGATAGCTGGACCGAAGCTGCTGGTTTATGTTCTGGCGCATCTGCAGGCCCGTAGGAGACTGCAAATGGGTTGTTGCACCATCCAGTGAGAGTCCCTGCAACTGAGGCAAAATTGAAGGATCGAGGGATCCAAACATATCTTCAAGGTTAGTAGGCCTCAATCCTCCAAGCCTATTCAAGTCCCCAGTTTGATCACCAGAGGCAGTAAAAGCTGAGGCGGTGGAGAAACCATTGTTCCAGCTGGAAGGGGAGGAGAGACCAGAAATCTCATCCATCAATTGTTGCCTTCGACGGTGACTTTCAAGCCCAAGCAATTCCATGTCTAAATCCATATCTCGTGCACACAATGCAGCTTTTAACCTGCTACCAGGAAGCTGCAATGCAGGGGGCACCACATTAGACTGGTTTGTCCATCCACCCATAGGTGAAGAGGACCCAGATGGAGTCATAGGTGGAGTTGATGTAGATGGCATCAAGACAGATGAAGAACCAAGGGAAAGTGGGCTAATAGAACTCATGTCAAAAGTGGAACCATTGGCAGAGTAGGATCTAGGAGAAGGCACTGCTGAACCTGTGGAGGCATACAAGGGACGAAGCTCTTCAGGCTTGTGAGCAAAGAAACACACCCTCCTAGTGCAACCTGTCTCATCTTTACAGAGACGAGTTCTATACTGCGCAGGATGAAGCCAGCACTCAAAAATACCATGTGCATATTCACAGGCATCACCCTGCCTGCAAGACCCCTTTCGAAACTCAGGACATGGAACACAACTATAGTGATATTTCCTGGGGTCACGGCGCCTAGCATTCTCCCCAGGGTGCACAAATGGGCACTCTGTCCAATCATGAGAGTAAGCCCTAGAGCACGGCTTGACCTTAAAAGTATACATTCTAAACTCATCAGTTCCATACATCCCATTCTTAATATCCGGAAGTGTCAGATCAATAGGATACTCCTTCTTCTCAGACCCATCTTTTGATACCCTTGGCGTTGATACTTCTTGCTGTTCCCTCCCATCCATCTCATCTGCAATTTGATCAGCCAAAACACATGTTTCTTCACCACTGGTACCACCCTTTAACATGATTTCCAGGGTCTTTTTCCTTGAATTAGAACCAGACTTGACAACTGGAGCAATCAAGTCTCCAGGGAGATTTCCATTGGCATCAACAGAATTAGGATCAGCAGAGGCATCAAGCAAGAGCCTGGCAACCTCAGGTGCAGAGGAAGAGCCACCTGCAGCAGCACAGTGAAGCGCTGTGGCCCCATCAGACCCATAACCCCTGTTGACATCTACATGACCTGTTTCCAAGATATAATTCAACACATCTTTGCTTCCAAACAACGCAGCAATCATGAGGGGTGTCCTCTCCACAACCCCCTTTTTTTACAAGCCAATTCTCCTTCCATACCACAAACCTGGCATATCAACATCATAACCCTCCTCTTCAATTGCTTTCTTAAAACCGATCAGATCATTCAAGGCAGACAATTCAAGCAAAACAGAGAAATCATAGCAAACCCCGTCTTCCTTTTGAAATTCGTTCTCCATGTTGAAACCAGTATGTGTTGGTTTCCTCTTTGTACCACTGCACATCACAAAGTCTCCTCCACAAAGTCTCTTTTCTACAAGGTTGTAAACAGATAAAACCTTCAAAAACATTTACAAACACAGGTTTTTTAATTTGTTTTCATTACAGAGAGGGAGCGAGACAACAACTGAAAGAGAAAAACGATAAGGTCAAAAACAGCAGTAGTACCTCAATCCCACCAAATTATAACGGAACAGCTTGAAAAATAACATTTTTTTATAATTTTTTAGCCGTTCAGCAAAAACAGTAACCAAATGAAAAGGAAAGCTATCAAGAAATGAAAAAAATATATATAGTTAAAATCCTAACAAAAACAACAGCATATCTAACACGCCCTACACCCTGGATTCTAATTGATCAAATAGCTAGCAATTTAAAAAATTAGTCTATAGCATAATTTCCATAAATAACAAGCTATACACCCTCCCAACTCAAGTCCCACTCTCTACCTACATTTTCCAACATGCCAAGCAGAAACATTAAGAGTTGTCGAAAACCCACCAAGACAGACATAAACCAATCATCAAATCATAACAACAAGCATTCAAGAAACATACCTTGGCTTCCAAATGTAAAAATAAGCGGGCTGGAATGTAAGAACTGAGTAAACCCTCAACTGCTTTGTTCTCTGGCTTCCTTTCAAGTTTATTGACCCCTCTCTCTCTCTCTCTCTCTCTCTCTCTCTCTCTCTCTCTCTCTCTCTCTCTGATTTTATAAATTTCACACAACCAAAAAAGCAAGAGAACGAAAGGAGAGGAGAAACTTTTTGGCTTCCTCTTTTAATGCGTTTTTTTTATTTCAAGTCAAAAAGTCGGAGTCGACGTCTTCTATGGCTCCTCCTATATTTTTATTTTTTTATCTCCTACTTTTTTATCTAATTATTTTATAATGTTTCCCTCTAATGCAAATGCAAATGAAATGCAAATGCAAATGAGATTTCTTGTGCGGTGGAAGGTGGGGGCCACTAGCTTCTTAATATCTGACTGTTATGGATTGTTACGTCGACACGTGTTGGAAATCCAAAGGAAACTGCCCTCACCTGAAGGTGATCGTATCGAGATTCCAGAATGTCATGCTTTACGCGTGTTTGGCCTCTTAAGGGGATGACGTGGACGTGCCCGTCAACATGATCTCAAATCTTATTCGTTGCTCAATTCTACTAAACTCACGGCCTGTGATATAAATTTATAGAGCAAGGTGGTAATATTGGTCGGAGCGAGCGCAGTGTTGGTCCCGTTCTGACTGTTGTTTCTTTGCGGTGAACGCTCTGTTAGATATTTGGTTGTGCAAATGCAAGAAGAAGAAAAGGCGCCACGGGGGGGTGAACTCTAGAAGCTATCGAAGTACGTGTAATAACAAAGGAACGCTTCGATGGTTTCTATGAAGCTCTGTCGTCTGTTGCGAAATTGAACTTGTTTTGGTCTTATTTTATTTTATTTGAAAGGTGTCCCCGTCATATATTCATGTACATGCTTTGGAATGCAGCAGTAATTATTTTAAAAATAATTTTTATATATAAATTAATATTTTTTATTTTTAAAAAATTATTTTTAATACCAGCATATTAAAATAATTTTACAATACCAAAAACAACTAATTTAAAATAAATAAAAAATTTAATTTTTTAAAATAAAAAATATATACTGGTATATTATTTTTGTTTTTATTTTCAACTTATTAAAAGATGAATATCTTCTTTTCTTCTTCTTTTTCTTCTTTTTTTTTCATAATGATACTATTTTATCTTGAATTACTTTGTCTCGCTTCAAGCATATATCTTTTATTCAAGGGGTATTAACAAATATCATATATTATATATTATCACAAAACAATTTCCTAACTCATATACTTATAATTTTTTAATAGAGGTTTTTGTTAGATTTAGGATGCGCAGTCCAATTAAATTAACAAGAAACACTAAACTATGATTTTAATGATTTTGTTTGAATGCAGATGCCATTGGTTTTAATGAAATTTTAATTCAATTAGATTTTTCTTATTATTTAAAATCATTATTTTTTTATTTTAAATTAAATTTTTTTATATTTTTAAATAAAAAATACTTTAAAAAACAAATATAATCATCATCCCAAACAATCAAGGCCATCGCCTCTCATTAAATATTTTGTGCATTATTATAGCATTTTTACTTGAAAAATTCAACATAGTTCTTGAATTTTTATTTTTTATAATTCCATCTCAAGATTTGTTCTTCTCACGTTTTGATCCCTAAAAGCATGGGAAATCACTGGAATAGACAAAAGAAAGAGAAATGTTTCGGCCAATCACATTCCATCAACACAAAAGAAAGAGAAATTTGATGCGTTGGTTTGCCTTTCTAATCACATGCTAGTAAGAGTTGATTGAAATTGCAAAGTTTATTTAGATTTGGTCTGATTTTAAAATATTACACTGATTAAATAATGTTTTGGAATATGTCGAGTTATTGAGATTCATGGGACATATTTAAAGTGAATTTTTAAGCTAAAATAAGATAAAGTTTAGATCTTGAGGTCCATAAACACCCACGCCTTTTTTTCCGGTACAAGGAGAATATAAATACATTTAATTCCGAAAACATAAAAATAAATTTATTTATTTATTCTTCAAGAGATATCCTTACAAACAAATATTAATTCTAAAATATCTTCCTCTCCTTCTCAATTGGCTACCTCTTAAACTCTCGCATCCAAATACATGTTTATAGATCCCTCTTTCTCTCGTCCTCAAAGCTCTCTTCTTTTAATTTTGTGAATAATCCAGAGGGGTTTGTCTAGTAATTCTGTGGATAATATGGGGACCTCTTTTAATTTCTCCCTGCTTCTTTTAAAAAGAAGCAGGGAGAGATTGAATGGCGGATGAAGGGTGGGGCCGATTGTGCCAAATTTCTCAACCCACGAGGGACAAATTGAATTTGTTTTATAAAAAAAAAAATAAAAAATCACGAGGTTTAAATCGGCAAAACGAGCACGGACCGTGTTAAAGTTTTTTTTTTTTTTTTTGGGTACACATGAATTGTTAAGTTCCAATCCAAAAAAGAAGTGATTGTTAAGTTTAGCTCCTCACGCGTTAATTGAAATTTAGTTGTTCTTTACGAAAATTAGAAAAAAAAAGATATTTAAAAAGATATTTTTTAATATTTCGATGTGGCTAAATCAAAAATTATTTTTTAAAAATAAAAAATAAATTATATTAATAAATTTTTAAAAATAAAATATTTTTTAGAAAACAATTACTTTATATTTCCTTGCAATTGGATAAGCAGGAATACGATGAGAGGCCATCATGTCTTTTTTTTTTTTTGATTTACGTGGGGTGTCCGGGCCAGCTTGCGCGCACCACGACTAATCTCTACGGCCCACTGAATATCCTGCAAACCTAGTAGGCATGTAAGGCACCGCAAGGGTGACAGGCATGCACGCTAGGGCTTGAACCCAGGTGCAGTGAAAGGAGACAAGCCCCTTCCACCGCTAGGCCAAGCCCTAATTTGCCTATCATATCTTTTTTAATATTAAGTTTCATGTGAATCAATTTAATACACATTCAGTCTAAAATCAGAATGGTATAATTTAATTAGTTAAATTTTAAATTTATTTTTTAAAAATTACTAATTTAAATTTTAGAATTTTTAAAATTATTAAAAATTTATATAATCATTAATTTTAAAACATATATAATTAACTAAAATATATAAAAACTAGCTCCAACATCTATATTCACCTTTAAAAAAATTCCATGCACAGTCATGTACACATGATAGCTGTATTGATTAGCCTTGTATGCTTAGCTAGCACGCCCTTGCTTTTTGCTGATGCTTCTTTTTCATCGATGACTGTTCAGATATTGGAGCGGCTTCGATTTGTGCAGCCGAAAGAGAGAGAGAAAAGGGACGGCTTGAAACGGTGGACACTAAATTCCTAATTTGATTCTACTAAGATTGATTGAGCATGTCCAGCCTGATGAAAAGTCCATGGCATCTTCAAGCCGTGGCCCCACACGAACCTAAACGACATGCAAGATATGGCAATCGGGACCCGTGAAAGCGACCCGACCAGGTCAGAACAAGCATTCCATGTCGTTTTCCTTGGTTGAATGGAAAAAAAAAGAAGAAGCTTGCGCCATTCATGCTATGGAAAATAGTCACAACATTTATTTAGTCCTCGCCCTATACGTATATATCCTGTTTCTATCTATCGTCTTAATATTAAAAATAATTTTTAAAAAATAAAAAATATATATTATTTTAATATATTATCCAAGATCACAGTACAGCACTGCTGTAGGGCTGAGCGGTGAGGAAGAAGAAACCTGAACATTTATACCTTCAGATTATTAGTGCTTAATTTAGCCACTGATATTTTTTAAAAAATAAAATTAATAACTGATAGGTCTTGCTATTTTTTAGGATTACAATTAAAGTTATAGATATTTTATAATATCTATTTTTAAAGAGAATATCTCTTTTCTTTTCCATGCCAGCTGCTTCAAGGAGGAAACCTCTCGAGACATCTTTACTCTTCATGATGACACCTTGTAGACATTTCTTTTAACAGAAAAAAAAAGAAGAATATATTGCAGTTTCAATATTCTTAATCGTTAACAAGAAATACAGGGATGTGGATTTTTCATTATATTGCTGGGTACTATTTATTATGAATTACTATATTAAATTTATTAATTTGTTACTTGATGGGGAAAATAAAAGCCTTAATTGAGTGTTTTTCAATTCGTCATTGGTTATTAAAAAATTATTAGGACATATTAGTTTATTTTATTTTTTTTGCAATAAAAATATTTTTTACTTTCAAGGTTAATGATATTTGGAATGGTTTACCACGAGTCTTTTTATCTTTTCATAAACATTTTAAAAAATAAAAATATTTATTTATCTTTGAAGTTAAAACAATTTGAAGTTAAAAAAATTATAAAGTTGTTAACTAAGAATTTTATTTGTTTTTCCCTTTCTTGTACTACTAGCAAAATGTGTATTTGTTCTTGGAAAGGACAAAAATTAAAAATGTATTTAGAAGTATTTTTATTATTTCACACGAGTTAATTTGTAATTTATAAGGTAATGATTGGTATTTTAATAATTTCTACATTGATTTTTTAATTTCATAAAATTATTGGCACGTGTTCATTTCACACTAGCATATAAGATATTATTTAATTGTCAAACCTCCATCATATCTTTTTTTCTATAATATATGATGTTGAATAATAAATAATTTTTTATCAATGATTGTTTTTTTCTCTTTCTCTTACTAGAAATAATACATGGTTATCCTTTTTATTTTTCATATTAAAATTTCAGTCTTCAATCTTTTGATTTCTCATTTTTGTTCTTATTCATTTTACAAAAGTTTAATTTGTTTTCAATTTAATCATTCAATTGCAATTTTTTATATTTTAATCTTTGTTCTTTTAATTTTTATTTTTTTTCTTTGGCTTTTTTATTAAAGTTTTATTAGTTTTCAATTACATAATTCAATCAAAGTTTATATTATTTTTTTTCAATTTAACTCTCATTTTTTTTATTTGTTTTTCTTTTAGTTAAAGTTATTTTCCATTTAAATTTCACCCTCCAATTGAAAATTTTTATTTGCACTCTAATTTATTTTTTATTTTGATTTTCACTCTCATTTTTTAATTATAAAATTTTTAGAACTTTTTGTTTGA